ACATCCTGGTTGATTTAGATAACTGGCCATGTGGATCACTTTTTCCCCCCTTCTTTCTCTCTCTCTCTCTTTTTTTTTTCTTTCTTTTTCTCTCTTCCCATGCTTTAAATTCCTGCTCTTACAGTTTATATTCACCAATAAGGAGTGAGCCCCCAAAACCCTAGCCCCCCACCCTCAACCCCAGTAAAAGCAGGACCCCGGGGCCATGTGCGCTGGCTGGTCTCCCTCAGCAACCTGGTTGTGTGCCCCCTGGCTGTGTACATGTCAGGGCTGGTAAGTAACAGATTTTTTTTCTTCGAAGTTTCCAGATGGTTATGGCTGATGGGCAGCTTGCAACCCTAAGAACTGCTGGGATCAGTTCTGTTATCACATTGGTTTGGCAAGGGGAGATGTCTGTGGGAAGCTCACGGGCCTGGGCGAGTGCCCCCAGGCATTTACTATCAGTAGGCCCAGATGCACAAAGCTCTGTCGCCCCCACATCAAGGGCTCCTAGAGACCGGGCCCAGGGCTAGGTCCTTTTGGATTTTTCTGGGTCCCCAGCACTACCTGATGCTGGGCAGGCACAGATGAGGGTGCAGGGGTGTCTGCTGATGAATAACTATCCGGGGATGAATGAATCCATACTAAGTTTCTGCTTCCTGACCCTGACATTGGGGCCTCCCCCATCTCCTTGTGCCCCGCACTCCAGCCCTAAGGACATCCTTGCTCTACCCCAAACTGACCAAGCTCTCTTAACCTCCACACCTTGGCCCATGCTGTTTCCCTGCCAGGAACGCCCTTCTCCCAGCCCCAGCTCCATTTTTCAATGGTCAGCTCCCACTGAAAATTCCTCCTGCTTTTCTGGTCTCTACCACCCTGCCCCACCTTCTGGCCCAGAATGGCTCCCATGCTCCTTCTTCTAGAAATCTGGGATGGAGCTGAGGCTCTTGGGGCCCTGGCCTCACCCAGCATGGGGCAGGCACAGAAGTGGGTATGGGGCTGGTGAGGGATTTCCACCCGGCACGTACCTGGGAGATCCCTGGGCAGCTGAGGCTCTCCCTCCTGCTGTCCTCCGAGCCCGAGCCCGCAGGAGCCTTGGTTTCGATTCAGGGTCAGCACGTCAGTCAGAGGGGGTGGGGCTGCTGCCCCCAGGCTGTTCCTGTTTCCTTAAGCAGGTGAGCCCCAGGGGCGGGACCGGGACAACCTCTGGTTAGCCTCTGTCTACGGTCCAACAAAGCCGCTGAGCTGCAGGTGGAGGGACACCCTTGCTTCACCCACAACAAGCCTTATTGAGCACCTACTGTGTGCCAGATCCTAGGGGACAGAGAGGGGACCCCAAGAGGTGCAAGCCCCACCCCCCTGGCATCTATAAACTAGCAAGCAATGAAGAAGGGTAAGAAATGATTAATGTTTCAAAGCAGACAGCCTGTCAGGAAGGAGGGTCTGGCCACTTGTGACTTCCTCTGTAACAAAACAAAACACACTAAAAAAAAAAAAATCACACTTAAAATGATATTTTACGATTGTGTTGGCATCTAGACTGTTATAGTCTGGGCTGGACTATTATATATTCATTATTATTGTATTCATTTTTCTCTTCAGATTTAAAAAAAAAACTAGAACATTCTGGGGAGCCCGATACCCACCATAGGCTGTGAGCGTAGGAACTTGTGTCTAACGGACCAGGCAGCCCCGGATGTGTGCTGGCTGCACCTCCCTCCCCAGCCCAGGGGCAAAACCACTTCCTTCTCCCCTTTCAGGCAGAAATAGCCCAGATTCTGGTGGACGAGCTGGGGGCCTCCCCTCCGGGGCCTATCACCCTGGACCAGCCAGTCCAGATAGCCTCCATTGCAGGCTCAAGGGCCGTGGGGGTGGCCTGGTCTGGAGTCTGCGGGTCCATAAGGCCCAAGCAGGAGACACGTGGAATCTGGCTTCTTACTCACCCCACTGGGTAGCCTTGGGTGACTCGCTCAACCTCTCTGGGCCTCGGTTTCCTTAACTGAGAAGTGGGCATGGTAACAGCCCTCCTTAATCATGTGATGATGACAGGAGCAACGACCTTCAAGCATGCGGCATGGGGCTCAGTTAAGGGTGAAATCAGGACTCTTCACTGTGACTTAATCTGATGCCTATGTGCCTGGCTGGGGAGACAGAAGCTCGGGCTCCATACTGCATAGGCTGGGCCACCTCGAGCCACTTGCGTCACCCCCGTGCCCTCCACAGCCCAGTGAGTCAGCTACCAGCCCCGATGATAAGGAGCAACGCTGTTGGGGAGGGGCTCACACCAGCCCAGGAGACCCTGGTGCCTTAGAAAGCCTGGTCTCATTTGCATGCAGTGCAGTCTCCAGAAACAAGGGGTGTCTCAGGCCACTTCTGGCCCGGCCCCCTGAGGCCCCACCACAGAGGGCTCCACCCTGATAACCCTGACCCGCTTGAGGGATGTGGTCTTACACAAACTGAAGTCCTCCCCTGAGAATGTCACAACAGAATCATCCCCCACCCCACGGTGACCACAGTCCTCAAAACTGTGAGCGGACGGGTGGCCCCCAGAGGAACTTCCGGAAAAGAACCAGCAGGGGGATGCAGGGGGGCTGGGACTCCGGGGCCCCTCCTGCTCTGGTGTCAGCTCTGGGCTTTTCACTGGAGGCCTCAGCTGGCAAGGAGGACTTTCACGGCCCCAGGTGGGGTAGCTCTCGGGGTAGGGACCACAGTGCCTTCTCAGCCCTACGGACGGGCAGGGGCGGGGCAGTCAGGCTCTGCCAATGCTGAGCTTTATGTGTTTTCAACCATCCTGTCGTCCTACAAGGCTTTTGTTCTGTTCATGAATCCATTCACTCCACAAACATTGGCTGAGCCCCAACTGCAGGCACCATGCTAGATGCTGGGGACAGGGCAGACAACACTAGCACTGTCCCTGCCCGCTGGAGCCCGTGGTCCACAGGGACATGGTTACCGCACAAGACCCCATGCGGGAAAGGCTTGCACAAGAGGGAACAGCAAGGGCAAAGGCTTGGGGTAGGAAGACACCTTGCACGCTGGAGGAATAGACAGCTCAGGCATCCAGAAGGTGGAAATAACCAAATGTCTACCACTGGACGAACAGATTGAGAAAACATGGTACCATGCACACGATGGAATATTATTCAGCCATAAAAAGGACACATGCTACAACGTGATGGATCTAGAGAATCCTGCAGAGCGGAAGAGGCCCGATACAAAAGGCCACATGGTGTATGATTTCATTTACATGAAATGTCCAGGACAGGCGAATGCAGAGCCAGAAAGAAGACTAATGGTTGCGGGGGGTGCTGGGCGGGGGGCATGGGGAGTGACTGCTCGTGGGGATGGGGTGATGAAAACGTTCTAGAATGGACCATGGGGACAGCTGCGCAACTCTGAGAATACACTGAAGACCACTTAATTGCACTTTGGTGGGTGGATTGTTCCGTGTGCAGGTTACATCTCAATAAAGATATTTAAAAAAAAGGGGGGCGCCGGGGTGGCTCAGTCGTTAAGCGTCTGCCTTTGGCTCAGGTCATGATCCCAGGGTCCTGGGATCGAGCCCCGCATCGGGCTCCCCGCTCGGCGGGAGGCCTGCTTCTCCCTCTCCCACTCCCGCTGCTTGTGCTCCTGCTCTCGCTGTCTCTGTCAAATAAATAAATAAATCTTTAAAAAAAAAAAAAAAAAGTCAAGGTGTCCTCTTTCCCCATACAAGGGGACAAGAGGGGAAGAGCCACTTCCCTGCGTGCCACGGCATCGAAGTCCTAGTGACTCTCTGAGGAAAAGGCTGGGTCTCAGGCGGGACTGAGGAGTTCAATGACCCCAGCCTGACCTGGTTGGGAGCAATGGGGACAAAATTGGGGCCTGTTGGGGCAAATACTTCCAGCTCAGTGCTGAGAGCTATTTATACGACTTGTGCCCCATAAAGAGACAAGATGTGAATAGAGGACTGAGTTTTCCTCCTGGGGCGCGAGACAAATAGTGATGCTGATGAGGATGACGACCAGGATGCTGACGGCAGCTCATCTCTCAGTGCCTGCCAGGGTCTGTCCCAGTCTGAGAGGCGCCATCTTGCTGGCTCGTGCCTATTTTACTGACGAGGAGACTGAGGCTCAGCCTGCGGCTGTGCTGGGGTGAGGACAAGGGCTCAGAACCCAGCACTTGACTTGGCAAGATGGGTGCCGGCAAGGATCCAGATGAGAGAATGGTGGGGGCACGATGGGGTCTGATGCTGACCAGGCAGGTTCAACAGGGAACGTGATGTCCCACAGTGGTGCTGCGGGTGCGTACACCTCTCCGTTCTCCTGGTGGCAGGGGGGCGGGGGGCGCGCGCGGTGAGGGCAGAGCTGGGGGTCGGGAAGCTGCTTCCTCCAAGTCAGTCTTTTGGTCATGGTTGCATCTCCTCAGAGCTCAGGGTAACCGACCTCCTCTGCTTTGATCCTGTCTACACCTGGGGTAGGGATGAACATGGCACACTTGAGGAGGAGACGAGAGCCAAGGCGTGCAAAAGTGGAACGGCTCCAGAGGTCCAGGCCTCCTGAGGACCCTGGACCCAATACCTGGCCATACCAGTGCCCCTACAGGGGACATGGGGACATAAAAATCCATTACCTTTAATCTAGTCCAATCTCTAATTTTACAGGTGAAATTAAAACCAAGAAATAAGATAAGCTGTAAAAAAAACTGTTAACTTCAAAATGAGCTTTAATTTGTTTGTTTTCCTTAAGTGCATTTATCGATGTAAACAGAGCATGTTAAGAGATTTCAGGGGAGAGCAGACTATTGCTGGTATGTCGGTTTTAATTCACAAAAGAAAAAACTACAATGCCAATGGCTTGGACTGACAGCAGCTTGGGGGGGGGCGGGGGGGGGCGGAGAGAAAGAAAGGCTCCCGGCTGACGCCCCTCCGACCTGGTTACCGGGTCCCAGTTGCAGTCCCTACAGGAGGGTAGAGCTGCCACAACAGAACCGGGTGAGGGCAGTTAAAAACCAACTCAGACTGCTCCGTGGTCAGTCTGTTGTTTGGGCCTCGGCCCGCGCCAAGCGAGGCCTCACGCTTCGGGCCCGTCTGGCCAGAGGTGTGCACGAGCTCCCAGTCACCTGGGTCTGCCGCTGGAAATCAAAGACAGAATCACTTCATGACACTACAGATCTGGAAAAATAAAAATCTCAGCTAGAAAGTACGTCCAATTTGGAGACAGCGGGAGGGAAGAGGCGTCGGGGGGCTGCTTGGGGCGCCAAGAGGCAGATGCCCCAAGCACAGGTGGACCATGTGTGGTTGCGCGTTCAGGGTCACCTGTGGCCCTCGGCGCTCGGGTGGGGAATGCCAAGAGGCCTGCTGACCATGCCCCAGGCCCCGCCAGACTATAGACCAGCACCTGGCTGTGAACAGGAAGGGCCACCCCAAGCTTCTTTCCTCAGGATTTCCGTAATTTGTGCTTCCCTTTGGTTTGGTTTGACAGTTAGGAAGAGAGGGGGGGCGGGGGGAGAATGGTTTTTTTTGTCACTTGTCCAAAACAGAAGAGGAGAAAGTAGGCGTCAGATGTGCTAGGTGGATGCTCCGTGGGCCCGGCATGCGTTGCCTCGCTCAGGGTGTGGAGCCTGGAACTCCCGGAACCCTCACTGGCCTCTGGGGGCCTGGCTTCTGTGGTGGGGATGTGAACGGGCTTTCCGGTGGGGCTTTACTTGTATTGCAATGAGATGAGGATTAAAGGCCTGGAGATGGAGGCCCACCATATCGGCTGATGTTGATGGCCACACCTCAACTCTCCATCTTTCTCTCTGGTTACACGACGAGAAGGCCCCTTCAGCAGACATCAAGGGAAAAATAGCAAATTCTTAACTTATTCCATCTCCAAAGTTGAAAAAGATCAGACAGTTACTAAAATAAACAATTTCTCAATTGTGTCTGGTGGCCATGGGCCCAGTGGCCGCGGCATGGCAGGGAGTGTTGGAGGGGGAGGGCCCCGGCTGAGTGAGGGACTCACTCAGGACAGGCACAGTCAGCTCAGCTGAGCGAGGCTCAGAGTAAGGCAGTGTTCCTCACAGAAGAACACATCGGAAAAAGCTGCTCCTCTTCTGCTGGTCTGGTGTGATTTTGACTCCTTGGTTGCTCCCTTGGGGACTATTGCCTTCCTGAAATGGCAAAAAGTTTCCTGAGGTCATGGCTGAGCATCAGCTCTGTCTCTTAACCAACCAATGAACCAACCAACCACCCATCTGCCAGTCCATCCACCCTCCTCTCCCCTCCCATCTGTCAAACCTCTGTCACCTTCCAACCAGCCAACCAGGCAACTGTCCCTTCCAACTGCCAACTCCCTTTTCTCAGACCCACACATCTGCTACCTACCCCCCCTTCCCCACCATCCATTCTCCCCCTCTTCTTAGTCGCCCGCCCAGCACCCCCTCCTGTTCATGCCTTCACGATCTTTCCCACCATCTGCTCACCCCACCCATCTCAACCTCCTTTCCCTACTTCCTTCTCTCCATCCATCTACCCAACTGTGCTGAGTCCCTCGCAGTGAGGCAGCCCAGGGGCAGCAGAAAGACTGTCCCCTGGGATTGGAGGGGGGGAAGAGGGGGGTTGGGCTCAAGGTCACAATGCCACTCACACCTGGCTGGTCTCCACAACCCTGGGCCAAAGCTCTGACTCACCACCTCTCCCCCCGTCCGCCTTCTGCCCCACAGCTGGTATCGTAGGCCCTAAACTCTCATCTTGCCCACTCAGTCCATACTGAAACCCACCCATGCTCCATTTTCAGGGGGAAAGCCCTAAATCCCTCACACCGCATTTGAAGCCTCTGCCTGTCACCTGGCCCCTGCCTACCCTGGCAACTCAGATCCTATTTTCTGCCATTCTACCCTGTTTGCACGGTTTAGTTCCCTTTTCTTTGACTAATTCCTTCTCATCTTTTTGCTCTTGAGTAAAACCCAAATTTATTCAAGTAACCATCGAATGCCTATGCTGTGTGAGGCCCTTGTGTGGGTACTGGGCATGCAATGGTGGGCAAATGGTCCTGCCTTGGGGAGTTCACACCATACGGGGAGACAAATCGCATGGGTCAACAAATAAGCAGTGATTTCCCATAGCAGTGAGTAACGAGAGAACAGGCAGAGAGTGGAGAAGCGTTTTGATGGCGGTATCTGAACAGAGGGCTCGTGAAGTAAGGCCAGGGACAGTCCAGGGGTTGTGGTCAGCGGAGTAACTGCCCCCCAAGATGTCCACACCCTCGTCCCTGGAACCTGTGCAGAAGGAAACCTGACACAGCGGAGGGGCTTTGCAGATGTGTTTGAGCTGAGATGGGGAAAGCGGCCTGGATCATCCGGGTGGGTCCATCGAACCCTGTGACTCCTTAAAAGCAGAGCAACTTCCCAGCTGTGGTCGAGAGAGTAGGGATGAAGGAAGCAGGGTCAGAGAGATGCTGAGCGGCTGGCTCGGAAGATGGAGGAAGGGCTCACGAGGCAAGGAAGGGCCTCCAGGAGCTGAACAAGGCAAGTAAACGGGTTCTCCCCTAGGGCCTCCGGGGATGAGGGCACCCCTGACGACACCCTGGGTCTTAGTCCGGTGAGACCTGTTTCCCACTTGTGACCTCCGGAACTTTTACACACATGTGTTGTGGAAGCTGCTGAGATTGTTTCGGGAATGTGTTGGCGGTAGCCCCAGGACGCTGATGCAAGAGAGGAGCACTGCAGGTGGAGGGGAAAGTCCAAAGGAACATGGCGGGGGGGAGGGTTCAAGGAACAGGAAAGGGCCAGTGTGGCTGGAGCAGACGACAGGGACGCGGAGGGGAGAAGGTGGGGAGGGTGGCAGCGGCCTAAGCGGTGTGGAGTTTGCGCTCAGTGCAGTGAGGAGCGCTGGGCTGAGCAGAGCCTGGAAGCGCCGGAGGTCTGGGAGCAGGGTGGGCGCTGGCAGAGCCTGGCTTTCTAGGATGCTCTCGAGAGAGAGAAGGCAGGGGCGGGCAGAGCTGACCACATCAGTGATTTAAGACAGATATGAGCTTGCCCCTAGGAGACAGATACGCTCTGGAGAGCGAAGGCCCGGCGCAGTGATTATAGTCAACAGTGTTGACGCTATTACACCGTTTATTATAAACTTCAGAGTTGCTAAGCGAGACTCGATCGTAATTGTTCTCAACACAAAGAAGGAATGATAATTATGGGAGGTAATGGAGGTGTTAGCTCACGCTACTGCAGTAATCCTATTTCAGAATATCAACGTATTAAGAGCAATGTATCGTACACCTCAAACTTGCACGATGTTACATGTCAATTATATTTCAATTAAAAAGAAAAGGCAGAGAGGAAGTGGCATGGGGCTGCGACTCCGAATGTAAACGAAGGTGTTTTGTAGGAATTTAACCGTTTGTGATTTGCAATTCGGTTCAGAAATGAGTAGGAATTTAACCGTCTGTGATTTACAATTCGGTTTAGAAAAAGAGGAAACGCAAGGGCTACGGCTGCACATCAGTGCTTCATGCTCTACGGAAGTGATCCACGGGCCGAGCAAAGCAGAACGTCACCACAACGCTTAGCCTAACTGCCAGGGGGGCAAGTGTCAGAGGGATCATCAAGAATCTTGATTTTACTGTCATGCTGAAGAGGAAAGAAAGGCTAGGAAAACGACACGCTGTTGCTGGTCAGTGTGTTTGTGTGCGTGGATTGCTTCCTGTTTCGGCTAAAAGGCTGGTACTAAATTGATCATATCCCTTATGATTCCATTCACAGCACCTGAGAATTACGAAGGCACGTTTTAAATCAGATGTGAACTACCTGAGTGGTGTTTTGCGTCCTACGTGCCCTTTTGTGTGACCAGATGTAACTCAAGCGACACACAGATGGCTTTATGCTCTCGTATCAGACAACGAGGGGTGGGAAAGGGCCGGGGAAGAGTGGCCACTGGGATGGAGGCTCTGGAGCAAGACTCACAGCAGTGTTTAGGTGCTAAACACGCCCAGAGTATAGTCAAGTATGCAGACACGACCAAAGGCAGCTCTAGAAATACTGAGTACCTGGGACTATGAAACAAAAAAGCCAGAAAACAAACAAAAAGTGTGGATGGGGAGGGATCCAGGCACGACCCCTCCGAGGCCCCAGGGCCCTACTGAAGGTCACAGAGCTGTCCCGGCCTACAGAACTGGGGAGGGACTCATTGAGACGGAGAGCCGGTGGCTGTCAGACACAGGCCTGCCGGTGGCCTCGTCACGGGGTGGGCTGTGGCTCTGGGCCTGCCTGGGGCTTTTCTGCAGGAGGCTCTCTCTCCTCAAACATGCCGTCTCCCAGGCGGGGTGGAAAGGGCCGTGTGTCCCCGGCTAGCCCGTGTGCTCAGCAGGCAGCACCTGGCATGGAGCAGCTCTGAGCCAGGGAGGAAGGATGGAGCAGAGCAGTGCATCCGGGTGTGGAGGCCCAAACCTCTCCTGCTAACTCTCGCCCCTTTCCCAGAGATGCCTTACCGGGACTGGCTGGGCCCTAATGAGCAGGATCTGCCCGGAGATGCATCACAGCATTGAGGCCAAGCACAGCTGGCTCCAACAGGGAGCCGTGCAAGGATTCAAAAAAGGACATACACTCACCAATTTTTTGTCCATTTTTGCTTTGATGTCTCTGGCGAGAGTGAAAAATGCCTGTGGAATAAGCGTGTCATTAATGCCCCTGGAGCAGGGAGCAGAGAGGGGCTTGCCGGTTCTGGGCTGCTCCGTGTAGATGTGGTGGGACGATGGGGGCGGGGCAGGGGGCAGCATTAGGGCAGCTCCCTGGGTGTGGGTGTCCCCTGTCTAGCCCCATCTCCTGCCACTACTGGGCTACTCCTGCCAACCTGTACCACCATCTCCCTTGAGCCAATGACCTGGGACGTGGGGACACCCCTGACTGGACAGAAAGGAAACTCAGTTTCAAAAGGGTCAGTGACTTGTCTGAAGGAAGGATCCAGGAGGACCTAGCTTTCCATCCCCGACTCCTGTGTTCTGTCCACTTCTGTCCCTGCTTCTGATGGGCAGGTGCAGGACAGAAAGAAGGACAAGCCGTTCTTAGCCAAACAAGCTTCATGTGGGGTCCCTGCCAGCAGGAAGGCCACCAGGAAGGGCAGGTACCAGGTGAAGGCTTTGTCTCCCCATGCTTGACGAAGGCTCGACCTGGCCCTTTCGGGGGCCACACGATGGGGAAAGTTCTGTTGTGGAGAGTGACTTGGGGTGCTGGAAGACAAGAAGCTTCCCTGGGGAGGGCCCACTTGGACTGGGCCCTGAGGGAATAGAGGGTCCGAGGAGGGTGCTGCACAGGTGGCCCAGCACGGAGAGTGGTGGGCGAGGCCCAAGCCGTGGGCGGTGCACACCGGCTGGGGCTGGTGAGGGAGGGCCTTCTGTGCCAGGTGCACGGGGTTGAGCTCAGGAGTGACAGGGAAGATCCACTTTAGAAAGATCACTGGGGTGGTGGGATGGAGATCAGCAGGTTAGCTGCGAGGCTGGCATCCCCGTGGAGAAGAGAGGGCGGCCTGGTCCGAGGCTCAGCCAGGGCTCCCTACTCCATCTGGGCTGTGACTGGGGCCTGTCTGGGCGGGTGGCGTGGCTAAGAGCACAAACTTGGAGCCAGGCCTGGGCCCCAGTCAGCTGGGTCTGTCCAAGGCTCAGTTTCTCCATGTGCAAAACGGTGCCTGCTCCCCAGGCCTGCCCAAGAGCCACTGAGGTAATACCCTAGGTGGCCAGCCAGGCCCTGCACCTGCTGATGTCACAACATGGCAGCGGTTCCCCCAAGGGGTCTGGCACATGGCACTGCCCCAAAACTGCCTACCGGCCACCTGGCTAATAAGACAGCCCGGAGCCTGAGGTCAGTCCCTCTGGAAGAGCCTCCCCAGAGGGTGCAGCCTGTCCATCAGCCCGGAGGGGTCCGTGCTGTGGGCCCAGGACTCACGTTCTCCACATTGATGTTGGCCTTCGCACTGGTCTCCATGAACTTGATTCCGTAGTCCAGGGCCAGCTGTGAAGGGAGACACACATTGAGGTGCACCTCAGCCACCAGGTGCCCCTGAATGCCACAAACCACCAAGTGGGGAGCAAGGAAGTTGGGGGGGGTCTCAGGCCATGGATGTGACCTCCTGGGCTGCTCCCTCAAGCCCCCAGTGGACAGCAGGTGGTAAATGGGTGAATGTCCCTGGCAGGAAGATGGAGGGGGCCTGGTTCAAACCACAGCTCTGTCCCCTGCTCCCTGTGGTCTCAACAGGTTCCCACCAGATGCCATATGGGAGCACGCAGAGCACACCCCAGAAGCCCTCGTGCTTGCAGTCTTTAGATGGAAGCCCAGCTGGGTGAGAGCTTTCCACTCTCCCTTCCCAAGGAAAGCACCACACTGGCGCAACCAACGTGTCCTTGTTTGCCTGGCAAAGTCCTGAGTCCCAGGTCCCCGCAGTCTTGTACAAGCCAGGATGGCGGGTCATTGTATGCTCAGAAAGACTGTGAAGGAGTCTCCCCCAAAGCCCACTCCATCAGCAAGCAATCGGGGACCCTTTGCGGCAGAACAGGCCTCCATGCAGAGAACCCTAAAACCCTGAAGTCCCTCTGCCACGAGGAACCAGGCCCAAGCCGGTTGCCGCGCCCACCTTTTCTCCCCGTTCCTTGGAAACTTGTCTCTTGTCGTTCACATCACACTTGTTCCCGAGTATCATCTTTTCGACATCTGCAGAAGCATGCTGGGGGGGAGGGGCAGACAGGGGAAGTGAGAGGTCAGATGGGACTACAGGCCAACACGCAGTCTATCACCTGACATCAGCGTGGTGGGCCAACACTGCTAGCACACCCTTGTACAGTTGACAAGCTGAAGGTCAGAGAGGCTGAGTGGTCTGTTCATGTCACACAGCCAATAAGAGCAAAGTCCAGGTTCTAATACTCTGACCAAGCACATGCCTTCTGGCTGCTGAGGACCGCTTCTCTATGGGCTGTGTTACCCAGGCTCCGAGGCCATCCTTGGGCTCCTGGCAGGGTCTGGCCTATGGGAGGCAAGCAAGGCTGGGCTATTTCCCCCTGCTCACCTCCCTCCCTCTCTGGCTCCTCTGCTGGAGGCCTCAGCTGCTGTCCTGGGACCTTCTGCCCCACTCCAGCTCGCTCTGTTTGGGCTCTGGAAGTGGGCAATGCCTGTTTGGGGTGGCCCCCCCCAACCTCAGCCAGCCCTGGGCTCCCACAACTGCCCCCCCACCAATGCCTGATCAGAGCTCCTCCTCCAACCTTTTCCCAGGCCCCAGTGGAGGAGTCTGCGCTTCCCAAAGGACCTGCGCATTGGTGGTTCAGTGGTAGAATTCTCGCCTGCCCAAAGGACCTGGGTATGGGTCCTTCTGTGTGTAGCTCAGATTTGGTCTTGGTGAGACACGCTTCACTGCTCCCTGCCTAACTTCCTGTTAACTGCAAGGCCCCCTCTCACCCACTGGCCAGAAATAGCGAGTTTCCACAAAGACAGGAGCAGTTAGTTCCTCGTCCTCAGCCGGGGCCCAGCCACCAGCCAGCCAATGTGGGGTTGTCAGGACGGTGGCCTGGTGCCACTGCTCAAAGAGGCCAGCAGTGACGTGACCTTTGGCCGTGGCTTTACGGATGGGTGAAGTCCTCTGGCTACACCTCAGACCCGAAGCCCCATCTGATGAATCATCAAGAGCCGCAAGTGCCATCGTCCAAGAAGGCTCTGCGGGTGACAGCAAGCTCTACGGGGAGCCGAAAGGCGAGGACACCAACTTTGGGCTGGGAAGGTGGGGCTAGCAGGCCCTCCTTCCCAGCTGGCTGCACTACAAGAGCTGTGGCCGGAACACGGGTAGCTCGGACCAGCTCACACCCTGCTCTGCTGAAACTCAGCACTTTCTGAAATGCCTCCCCACCACATCCACCAGACACGAGGTCATGCCTATTCTAGAACCTTCCTTTTCTGCAAAGCACCAAACGCTCATGGTGATCAAGGGCCTGGATATCCCTTCTCTCGTGACTGAGACACTGCCCAAACCCAACAGCCCCGCTGGGGAAATGGGCTTTCAGGGCCACCGTATAATGAGGCCAGGCCCACGTGTGGTCTCCAGGGTCAGCTGCCTGGCTTCTAGTCCCCATTCTGCGTATGTCCCTAGCTACGGGGCTCTTGGCAAGTGACTTCTAGGGGCCTCTGTGCCTCAGTGATCTCCTCTGTGAACCAGGCAGCTCTGGGGTGGGGACTGAGGAGAGGACATGTGTGAAGCTCCTGCGCACGTGAGGGCTTGCAAGCCTTACCTCCTCAATGTTCCGAATCCAGTTCCGGATGTTGTCAAAGGACTTCTCGTTGGTGATGTCATAGACCAGCATGATGCCCTGTGCGGAGGGAGACAGACACGCGCACTGCACAAGCTGAGAGCTAAGGGGGAGGCCCCAAGCAAGGTGGGGTGGCTGGGACCGACCCCAACAGGACACCCCTCTCACGAACTCCCTCCACTCCACCGCTGCAGCCCGTCCTTCTGCCAGACCGCAGCACCAGCAACTCCCAGGTCTCCCAGGCTCTAGTCCTGTCTACCTAGCCACCAAGGTGACCCTTCACCCTACAGACCAGATCCCACCAAACTCACGCTTATAAACGAGCCTCGCAGGCCCCCCAGTGCCAGCAGGGTAAGTATGGCCCACGCCCTGGCAGCCCACGAGGTCCTGCCGACCTCCCAGCCTCATGTCTCACAGCTCCCTGCCCTGCAGGCTGTGCTCCATGGCCCCGGGGCCCACTGGGCCCCTCTCACGCCCACTCCCTCACCCCACCCTGCCTGAGTCTCCTCTGGGCACTCTAGCATGACCTCTCATCTGGCATCTACTATGTGCCAGGTACTGCAGCAGGGTCTCCCTGAAGCCACACAGGTCCTGGTCACATGGGTGCCACGGTCCCCACTCTGCAGACGAGGACCTTGAGGTGTGGGGATGGCTAGGCCCATCTCCCATCCCATGAGAGAGTAAAGGGCACAACTGGGGCCTGAACCCTGACACCCCTGTGCGTTCCAGTGACTCCACCTAAGTGGGGGCCAGCTTGGAGCACAGGGCTGGGCAGCACTGAGGCCCGAGGTTCCATAACCAATGCATGAGCACCCAGGAGACAGTCCAGGGGTCCCGAAAGAGCTGCAGAGTGAACCCACCTCCACCTGGGCCCATGATCTTGCCATCACTGAGCAGGGCAAATATACTTGCTTGATACAAGGGAAACTGAGGTACACAGCCTTTAAGACTGAAGCCCAGGCAAGGCTAACTCTGAAGAAGCTGATCACACCATCTCCCGTTAGGAACCTCCCTGGGCCCTCATCAGGCCCAAGCAATGCTGAGGGCCACCTTCGAGGCCCACGGCCCCAGCTGTCCCGCCCCGGCCTGGCTTACTCAATTCCCTCAGGCCACGCCCTCCAAGGGGCCAGCCCGCACCCATGACCTCTGGTGCTAGCTAGTAAGTCTCTGAGGCTGCCTGAGTCTGCAGAGTAAGAACACGGTCTGTGGGTGCTGGGGGGGATCATTGGGAGACTCTGTGACAAAACCTCAAAGACGGGGCAAGACAGCCACTGCAATCCCGAATCCTGGCCATGAACCTGAGGGGACACAGAGCGGCCTTGTAGCCTGCCCCAACTACAGCCATGGCCAGGACCCCTCAAAAATGCCATCTGAGGGCCCTTTCTCAGGGCTCTCTTGGGGAGACCAAGCAGAGGCCACTTGAGGGATAACTCAACGGAGCTTTTAGTGGCTGTGCTCTCCACCACACCCCAGCCAAGGCCAGCGTGAGTAGAAGACTGGCGTGCAGACTCCGTAAGTCAAGCGTTGTGCAGGCCTCTGCCCTGCAGTTGCCCTCTGGCCATCAGGGGCAAGAAATGACGCAGGGTCCCGAGGCCTCCCCACTTGTTTATCCAGGGACTGGCCCCTCTGCTGGCCCAGGACTCTGGTCACCACCAGCAAGTTGATGCCACAGGCTCAAGATTCCAAGGTGCCAGATAATCACCAACCAAGGGGTGCGGGCAGTGGGTAGAGCTCTATCAGGAAAGAGAAGTCCCTAGAAAACAACGGATCACTCTATTCCAGGTCCTCCCGGAAACTCTCCTTGGAGCTCCAAATGATCATTTTCCCAGCCCTCGTTGGGCACAGCTCCCCGTATCACGCTGTAAGCTCATGATGGGACAACAGACATTAAATGTTGCCCAAATTTCGGACCCAAGAGTCTAGTACTATGCAGGGAGAGGATGATGGCTTCCATGGTGGCAATATTCTCTTGAGCTGTCCCGTGAGGTTACCACTGGCCTCACATGGCTCTGGGGTAGCTAAAATGCACCTGGTGATACCAAGGGGCTGGATTTCTTATTTTAATCAATTTAAACTCAAAGAGCCACACGTGGTTGCTGGCTTCTGTAATAGGTTAGCATAGATCTAGGACTGCAAACCACAAACACTTGGGGCTGGGGAGGGCCACACAAATGGCTCAGCCTAGTGTCACCAGGGGCTGGCTGAGGATGTGGGCACTGGAGACAACCAATCAGTACTGGCCTAGCCATCTACCCTCTGCGTGAACTTAAGCAGGGCACAAAACCATGCTGAGCCTCAGGTCCCCCATCTGTAAAATGGGGATAACCATGGCACCCATGCTCAGGGGTTAATGGCCAAGACCTGGGCCCAGCAGCTGGCCCAGGAAGGGGCTCAGTGAATGGGTCAGTGGGGAGCTCTTTCAGGCCAGACAGGGATGGGGCCTACTTGAGGCCACACAGTAGAAGCTCCCCCAGGACCCCAGATCCCCGAGGCCCTTGCCTCACCAGAGCACAGCAAGGTGAGAGGAAAATGAGTAAATAAATTTTAATGAGGAGTGCTAAGGTTGCAACCCACATGACTGAGTTTCTATTATGTTTCAGAAGCTGTGTAGGATACTCTAAATACTTAATGCCTTAATTCATTTCTGTAGTCCGCCAGTATTTTCTAAACACCCATCACATACCCACCATGGTCCCGGGCACAGGGCATGTGGCAGTGACCAAGATGTGGCCCTGCCCTCACAGAGCTGACGGTCTAATGGAGGAAACAGGTATCTATGCAGTTACAGGATGGGGTGTACACTGGGAAGGGCGGGGTGCAGTGGAAGCTGGAAAGGGGGAGCTGGCTATCCATCCTCACAGCTGCCTGGAACACAGTCCTGTTCTCTGTCCCACTTTCCAAGTCAGGAGATGGAGCTCAGAGGGTGACCCAAGGCACTGAGCCAGGCTGCAGGCGTCTGCCTCCCTCTCCCTCTGGCCCCTGAGCACTCAGCTCTGTACATGCCTCACACATGCACGACCCACTCGAAGCCCTTGAGGGTAGGAACTCTGCCCATTCCAGGTCATCCTCTACACCTAGCTCAGGCCTGGCCTAGAGAAGGTGCTCAGTAAAAGTACTGGAGGGATGAGGAATGAGTCTTCCTACCACATCACCCTACCTCTGGCCCAGGTGACAAATATAACGGCCAACAGCCCAGAACAAGTCAGCTCCTGGATTGTTCTTCAAGTCTTCAATAGCAGATTCCATAGAGACTACGTGGGCCACGTGAACGCTCCTAAGTGTTGGGGCACGCCATCTCCAATTTCACTGACCTCACCTGGAAGAACCGGCTTCCTGGGTCTTCCCTCATTCCCAAAGAATTAGGTTTCCTTAAACCCTGCATTGTCTCTAAAGCAGAAGAGGATGTGTGTGGAGGCAGGGCACACAGTCTTCTCCTGAAATTAACCTGGGACTGAGGACCCCTGAGAACCCCGAGCATGGGCTCCCCAGAAACATCCAGGCTTTGGTATTCAAGACGGTGATGTTCATTTTGACTTTAAAAAAAAGAAAAGAAAAGAAAAGAAAAAGAAACAAAAACCAGTCCATACCATTGCTCCCCTGTAGTAGGCTGTTGTGATCGTCCGAAACCGTTCCTGACCAGCTGTGTCCCTAAAGCAGAAGAAGGGATACCAATGACAGCAACCATGAATAATCATTACAGTGGGAACAACGGACATTCACCCAGGATGGACACCCTGCTTCCTCACGGGTCATTTCCTGATTCACCGTCCTGCCCCATGGCAGCACCCCCATTCTCCCTATTCTTACAGAGAAGGCAACGGTGACTCGGGTGTTACGGACCTGCCCCACTGGGCCTAAAGTCATGTCCCATGTTCCCCTATGACTTCTCTGTTTCCTAGGGATTCTCCCCAGAGTCTCTGGGTCACCGAAGAGCCAAGTCAGGTATTATCTGTGAAAGTCCAGGGCCCACACGGGTCTGGAAAGGGCTGGTTCCATGGCGGGTGGGCTGAGCTGGGCAACCTCAGCGGGGCCCCGGAAGCACTTCTGCACTTGCTGTTTTGGTGGAGGCCAAGGAGAAAGCCCGTCCTCATCGGTGCAGAGGCGACACTGGGGTGAGACATGCCGTGCCCAGCCCAGCTCTCGGCACGGAGGGTATTCAGTGTTTGGGATGAAGAGGACTTCACTGATTGGTGGCAGAGCCAGGGCAAGACCCGAGTCTTTTGTCTCTGGACCCAGGGTTCCTTTCACGACCCTGCACCCCCTTCCTCCCCTGCCGAGGGCGCTGCCTCTCTGGACCGCAACAGAAGCGCCTCACTTGGGGCTCTGCTGACTTTCTGATGCCAACAGCAGGTGACATTAGTGGTCACGAACAGTCATTTTATTCTCAACCATGACCCTAGTCTAGAAAAGTGTTATGAAAGTCTCTAACCCCGTGGATACTGCTAAGAGCAGAAGGAGGAAGAGAGGGGAAGAAGAAAGCGAAACTTCTGTCTGTGGCTGCAGCGTCACTTTGGACTTCAGGCACCAAGGCTGCTGGGAGCCGCACGTGGCAGGTAGAGGTACTTCTAGAGGCAGCCAGAAACTGCCTGATTCCCAACTGACAGGGCGTTAGGGTTCATCCAGATTTGGACTCTAAAGTCTGAGTCAGAGGTGAACGCCACGGAAGCCGAGGGGATGCACGCGCTCTGACACTGGGGTGAGGGACACAGGCTGCAGGGAGGGTGGCTCTGTGGCCCCTCTCACGGCAGCCCCTCTCACCACACGTGCTTGCTGGGACTGGGAGACTGCACCACCCTCTCAAACAGGACTTCTCTTTAACTTTGCTCAGGGCACATATTTCCCTGTCAGTGACGTGGCTATAGGGAGGGACTCCCCTCCATCTGACCATCTGAGCTCAGCCTTCCTGGTGCCATGGGCTACAGACCACAGTTGGTGTCAGTGACAGGGATTCACAACGTCTCTAATTTGATGTATCATAAGAAATCAGCCCCAGGTAAGTGGAATAGAAATGGGTCTCACCATTGGGCCCGGGCCTCAGTTTATTTTTGGTTCTGGGGTTTCGGGTCTGTGTGTTAGAGAAGTAAGGCCTGGGCTTCCCCACGACAGAAGAGAGGAAATGATGTCTCGCCTCCTTCAGCGAGCTGGTAGGCTCAAGAGGAAATGCTGGGCTGGGGAATTTCGCTGCCCCGCAGCCTTCATCACTGCCTGGGCACAGAGGGCTCTCCAAGTTCAAAGAAGTAGGCCACAGGGAAGCCCAGACCCAGCTGTGCCCGCATCGGAATGCTGAGCTAACCAGGACTAGCAGCTATGTCCCCAGAAGGTGCTGAGAGACTCCAGGTCCCAGTAACCAGCAGAGCACAGTCCCTGAGGTTTCTGAAGAAAGCCTGACGTGTATGGCTGGGGCACAAAGAGATGGAGGCCATGGTCACAGGGAGGGGGAAAGAGGCACAGGGCTTCTGGCTCTAAGTGCTCACTGGCAAGGGGCTGATGGTGGCAACGACTCTTACCATATCTGTAGCTTAATTCTCTTGCCATCAAGCTCTATGGTCCTAATTTTAAAGTCAATTCCTGAAAGAAAAGGAAAAACGAAAAGGCACATCACTGTCAGCCAGCCCATCTCTCAAGCTGCATCTGAGGCGGGCACTGCCAACCTGCGCAGGTTAACAGCATCCACGGCTTATGGAGCACCTGTCTGGCACCACGCATGTGGATTCTCGTAATCACAACAAATCTGGAGGCACCTGGACGACTTTCTCCTCTCGTGGAAGGGGGGCTGAGGTTCAGAGGGCAGACAGCTGCCCAGAGTGAAGCCGCAAGCGGCACAGCTGGTGGGCAAACCCAGGTACTTCAGGTGCCAAAGCCTTGTTCTATCCCCTCTCCCACCAGGCTGCCTCTCGGGGTGGGCCTCCATAAAACACTTTGCAGGCCAGAGCCCCACGCTTCCCGCCACCCAGCACCAGGCCCTCCAGACACACAGGGCATGGAGCCCAATGACACCCCACAATGTCACTCCCACGGCCTCCAGGCATCCAGCTTCCCCACCTGCTGTTCCTTCTCTGCAGGCGGTCCCCACTCTGCCCACCTGTCAGTCCAACAAACTTTCTCCTTTAGGACATGCTGGAAGGTCACCTTCCAAGAAGCTTTCCTCACCCTGCCCCCCCTTGTCAACCCTTTGCCCAAGACCAGGGTGACCTCTCAGCCTCTTCAGGTGTTTTCCAGGCTCCTACCCCCTCAGTCCCCTCCCAGGCTTTCCAAACCACATTCAACCATGTCAAAAAGCTAACCTCTGTTCCAAACTTTCCAGTGGGTCTGCCAATGGATGGATGAACAAAATGGGGTCCATCCATACTACTACTCAGCCATGAAAAGGAATGAAACCCTGACACACGCTGCAACACGGATGAACCTTGAGAACATCATGCTGAGTGAAAGAAGCCAGACATGAAAGGTCACAGAGCGCAGGACCCCATTCGTATGAATTCTCCAGAACAGGCAAATCCAGGCAAACAGGGGATCAGCAGTCACCAGGGGTTACAGGGGGAAGGGGAGATTCAGGGGCTTGATAAGGGGTTTGGGGTTTCTTTTTGTCATAACAAAAATGTTCTAGAATTGGCTGCGGTGATGGTTGTACAACTCTGTGAATACACTAAAAGCTGCTAACTTGTATGCTTTAAATGGATGAACTCTATGGTTCATGAATTGTATCTCAATAGAGCTGTTAAAAAAAAAAAAACCAAACACTTTCCACTGTCTTCCCACCACCCCCTCAGCCCCAGAATACCCCAGAATAAAGTGAGAAGAGTTGCACGTGTGCTCCCAGGTCCTGCCCAGCCTGGCCACCTCCCCGCACCCGTGGCTCACGTGACTGCTTCCTAACCATCCCCGGCACGATCTGGCCTTGGAGCTCTCATGCTCGCTCTTCCTGTTCTTGCAATGTTGTTTCCCTCCACAGCTACCTGGCTCTCCCCGGCCCTTCACTCAGGTCTCTTGTTCAAGTCACCTCCTCCGGGGAGCCTTCCTGACTATCCTCACTCTCTCTCCTCCCCCTTCTTTTTCTTCTTCATGCACTTTTCCCTGACAGTGTATACTTGCTCCATGAACCTGGGGATAAAACTTGCCCATCCGAATGCCCTGCATGGAGGGCAAACAGCCCAAATCTCCACCCATGAAGCCTTGAGGCTGAAGCCTGGCTTGACCCCTCAGAACTGATGATGGGGATGCTAATTCCATCCCTGTCCACCTCGGGAACTGTCCAGGGGACCACAGGGAATATCAGCCTGCACGTGAAATTTGCCCACTAGCACATAAGCTCCAGGAGGGCAGGGACTCAGGCGTCTCGCTCACGGCTGTGTCTCCAGTAACTCAGCGCGGCAGAGGCCAACTACGTATTTGCTAGAAACTGATCGCCCAGTCCTGCACACACACCTTGACTACAGGCCTTGTTACATTTCTGTTGCCCTCTGATTCAGCCGAGTCATCTCCGCAGCCCCGGCAGCCCTGCTGACACACGGCAGGTGTCGGGAAGGATGGCAGGACGACAGAACGAAGAGCAATGGGGTCTACGTGGCACTGCGTGGTTTACGAAGCACTTTGATGCTACGCCATCTGCCTCCCGGAAGGAATGGGTGAATGGGGCCCTGAGGAGACAGTGGAAGCTGAGCCAGGCTGTAAAGAACCAATTCCGGGAGCCACGGGGCCAAGTTCACACCACAAACGATGGATGGAGCTTATGAGAATAGGCTTTGGCAAAATGAAACACGGGCAGGAAACAAAGAGCCACTTAATCCTTGATCTATAAAGAAAATCCAGAGGTACACTTAGTGCCAACAGAGAATCACCTTTATGCATTCAGTTGTATTTTAGGACTAAGAGGCCCAGTGCTGTTCCTTCCTAAAACACCCACCCCCACCTCCTGTCACAGACGCACAGGGACATAGAAAATCAAAAAGCACTGTTTCATCGGCAAAGTCCCACAGCAACACTCTTTCCTCTCCTCTTCCTGGGTTTCACTAACAAACCAAATTTAATTAGGAAGTGTAAACTTTACAAGGCTAAGAATTATGAGGCCATTACTTCAAGGTCAAGATGAATTAAGTTTTCTTAGGAGACAGAGGCCTGCAGGAAAACTACAAATGTAATGGGAATACCAAGGTGGGAGGGAGGGATTCTGGGTTCAAGGGCCACCTGTACCTCCCCAGGTGACCTTGCCCAAGTTCATGTCTTTGTCTCGAAGTGGAGGCCAGTCTCCTCAGAGCCCTCAAGTGCTAGACTGGGTTTTCTGGTCAAGAATTAGGAACCAAACAAAAAGCCCAATTCCTGAACTGATCTCACTAGTGCCTGCACTGAACAGGAAGTCTCTGATGCTGGGAAACTGAGGTCTGGGTTGAGAGCAATCCACAGCCCCACAGGAGTTAACATCACTTCCTGATTGGTAGAGATGCAAGGGTTATCCCGAAGTTTGACCCTGGGGTTGGGGAGGGGGAGGAATCAGAAACATCTGTGTCCAAGGATGGGACGCTGTCACTGCAGGAGCCATTCTGCTTCCTCCAGGCGGCCTCTGGCCATGATGACAACCCCTTAATTCACTGTACATTTCTGATCCTCACCCATCCAGGGCACTGGTCAAGGCAGACAGTGTTACTCCTAAACTGAAGAAACAGGGCTCAGAGAGACTAGGTGCTTGTTCAAGGGCAAACAGTGGCTGGAAAGCAGACATGGCCATTTCCAGTCCAATTCTCTCTCCTCTGCATCCAGCATATAATTGTAAAGTGCAGCTTTACAGGAGGAGGGCAAGGTTGGAAAGAGCAGCGCATCATGGGGTTCAGGGAGATAGGTGATTGGGTTCAAGTTACACACGGGTAAAGCAAAACCTGGTCCCTAGGTTTTCCCCATTCAGAATCAACTCCTGGGCTTGGTGACCATTCTGAAGTAAGGCTGCAGAGCTCACAGGCCACTCCGCGTGATCAGTGTTACTTCCAGGTCAAACGTTTTCACATGGGCAAAGGCTGTTTTTGTGGCATGGGGAGAAGTCAGCTCCACTTTTGTGGATATCAGAACTGAGAAGCAACAAGCCAATTCTGTTCAACCACAATGTGGGCTGGCTCTGTGGGAAAGGCTGCTCTGCAAAGTGACAACCGGTGTCCTGGGCCCCAAGATAGGGAAGTCAGGGCTGTCTGTGGCAGCGGCTGATTTTGGTTTCTCACTAAAGTTTTTATCTGGCATCTCCTTGGGGATGACAGGTCCTAGGGCAGGCAGCTGTCACTTGCCATTGCTGTCACCCTCAAGTGATGGAAGGTTGGGCAGAGAAAGCCTCCAAACTCCTCCTCACCATTCCTTCTAGAGTAAATTCACTCGTGGGGGAACAGGGTCAGGGAGAGGGGCTTAACCCCTGAACATTCCAGAGGCAAAGAGCAGGAGAGAGCTGGTTTAGAGTTCTGGCCCTCAGACGGACCAGCTGTGGTTGCCCTGGGGGTGAGTGCTCATATCTCTCTGGGATGGTCGAGCCTTGAGTTTTGGGGTTAGACCCACATGGATTCAAATTCCATCTATGCCACCTGCAGACTCTGACCTTGGGTGAGTCTCGTCCCTCCCTGGGCCTCAAATTCCTCGTTTGTGAGACGGGCTCATAAGAGCACCTAACACTGAGGACTGGAGAGTGTGATAATGCACATAAAGCGGCTAGCACACAGTAAATGCTTAATAAGGTCAGATGTCATAGGCCTCTTCCTACGGCCTACTCCCCAAGCCTGTTTCACTTCTGACTCCAAAAGAACAGCTTCGAAGGGCTGCTGTGTGGACAGAACGAGATGACCGGCGCCAGGACCCCAGCCCAAGACACGTACTTCCTGACGACCAGGCTGAGGGTTGGAGCCTCAGTCTCCCTATCTGCAAAATGGGCACTTGGTTCCCTCCCCCCCCAAAGCCCGGGAACTCCCGAAAGGCGGTGGAGGCGGCTGCTCTTCTCCCCTCCGGTCCCCTCGACCCTCTCAGATCCCTGGATCCGTCCGGCCCAGCCGCTCCCTCAGCCCCAGCCCTTCAGGGGCGCGCCCGGCCCGGGCCTCCAGCGTCCCCGGCCGCTCCCCGGCCCCGCTACCTATGGTGGAGATGAAAGTTGAGTTGAAGGCGTCCTCGGAGAAGCGGAACAGGACACAGGTCTTCCCCACCCCCGAGTCCCCGATCAGCAGCAGCTTGAACAGGTAATCGTAGGTCTTCGCCATATTACACTCTCTCCCCGACGGGAAGTGCGGCCAGCGCCTCGCCACTGGCCGCTAGCCCCGTCCATCAGCGCCGAGCCCGCCCCCTATTGGCTCCAGGCCCGCCGCGCGTCACCGCGGCCGTCGCCCGCTCCCGCGCCCCGCCCGTCGCGGGGAGTCCTGGGGAAGGGGCGAGCAAGGCGCGGTGCCGGAAGCGGCCCGAACGCGCCGCTCATTGGTCGGCGCTCGGGACAGGGCGGGCTCCAATTGGCCAGCAGTGAAGAGTCGAGGGGCTTCAAACGAAGACCAGCGGGGGGCGTGGCATCCCGGGTCCCCGCCTTCTTCCCTCGACACAGAGGCGGCCCCGCCCCCCGGTGGGAGGGGGGAGAGCGGGGAGCGCCTCCAACGGCTCCGCGAGCCCGCGGCTCGGGGGCGGGGCTTGGGGCGCGTGCGTACGCTGACCCGGGAGACCGTTGGCGCCAGCAGAGGGCGCACGCGCCGAGGGCTCTCCGGCTCCCGCCCTCACTGCCTGCGCAGCCTCCGTAGGCGGCGGGAAGAACGCGGGAACCCACCGCGAAGGTGGCCTTGTCGTCTGGAGGCCGCTGTTATCAGGCCAGAGGGAACCCAAGAGGAAAGGGGAGTGGGGACGCCCGTCATAGTCGAAGCGAGGCCCCCTCGAGACTTCCTCCGGAGGCTCAGCGCTGGCCCGGGGACTACTTAGGGTTACCCAGGCCTGCGCCACCGGAGCGGCTTCACCGCCACCATCTGCGCCGAGGCCCCACGGGGACTCCTCGCGACGCGCCCTCGGACCTAATTAGAGATTGTCCAGACCACTGTCTGCCTGCAACTTTCCCCCGGAGCCCTGGCAACCCCAACCCACTCGGCCGCCAAGGGAGCTGGGGTCGTGAGGATCCTAGGTGATCGTTCTGAGCATTGTTCTTTGCCTGCAGGTGTTGTCCGCTCTTAGAAAAAATACACAGAAAGTAGTTAATACCCACCCTAACCCACGGGGGTCGATATTGGGTTTCCTGCCTTTTTATGGTGAGAAAACCGAGGCCAGAGCTTCAGTGATTTTCCCAGACTCCAGGGTTGGAAGTTGGGTTCGAGCTCGGACGCGCAGGCTTCGGAAGCCTGAGATCACCAGGTTCCTGCGGGTCAGAGGTGGGCCATGGTGCCGGCGGGGCGTTGAAGAGGCGTCTAGACTCGCGGCCCTGGCCGCCCCTCCTCTATCCCTCCGCGGCCCACTGCAAGAATCTGGCTGGCTCCGGGTGGGGAGAGCTTCAAGCGGAGCCGCGCCCACGTCGTCGTCGGTGCCACTGGCCACCTTCCTGGGTCGCTCCCCATTCTACTTGCTGGTTTCGTCTGTCGCCCACGATTCCCCTTCTCTGGGTGCTGCTTCTCAGATTGTATTGCAGTCTTCGGGGTCTCCGCGTGTCCTTTAGGAGTTCCCCCCTGGTCCCAGGTCTACTCGCACTCTGGGGGGAGCTCATTCACTCCTGTGTCTGCTAGCATCTCCATGCGCAGGTGATTCTGTGAGGAAATCCATAGCCCGGCCATCCCTGTGTCCAGCTGCTTTCTGGATTTGGCAGAGGTACTTAAACATGTCCGCAACTGAACGTGGCAACTTCTACTCAAACTAGCCTGGCCGGAATTACCTTCCGAGTGAAACCGAAGTCATCCTTGACACAGCTCTTTCATCCCCTCACATCTTGGTTCTAGATAGTTGAACCTCGTTCTTCTCTCCACTGGTCTTCCTGATTATTCTGTTCTCTGATCTAGATTTCGCTCTGCAGTGTGCTCATTCTCAAACACTTATCCAGTACCCATCCAGGGTCTGTCAGGATCAGGGCTTCACAATCTGGCCCTAAGCTCGCCCTGTGTTCCACATACACTTCATGGGATTGGGAACCCCCAGAGATCTGAGATCAGTTTAATAAACATTGAACACTTCTGTTAAGTGCAGAGGCACGAGATTGACTGTAACAGTATCCCGAGATTAGACTGCAGCCCAAGGGGGTAGGCAGGAGGGAGAGAACGAGCTTCAGTCTAGTAATGGTAGGGCCCTCAGAGAAGGCAATTATACTTTAGTCATTGATATTCCCTGCATCTACCATCTAAACAAGCTCACAGCATCAGCTAAATGTTGAATTAATATGAAGGAAATGTTTTTAATTGTACTTAGTGACAAAAAATTGTTTGCATACCACATTGTTTTAAAGGCTTTCATTTCTCTTTTTGATTCCCTACCCCACTTCCCCAAGATCAGATCTTGAGGCAGGTATCTGAGCAATTCAGGTAGTGAAACTGCAGTCATCTTTGACACTTAATCTTAAGTTACCTACCAGCTGGTCAGCTGTCTTAAGATTACTTCCTCCACATCACTTTTCATTCCATGGCAAGCACTACCTGGGATAATGGAAGCATCCTCCTAACTGGCCTATTAATGCCTCTAGTCTACTCCCATTCTAGTCCTTCCTGAAAACGACTAAGTGGATTTTCGTAATGTGTTTCTTTGTTGATTGGTCTTCAGCAACTCTCCACTCCTGACCAAATTAAGTTCAGGCTCTCATCAGTGTGGACACAGCTTACCTTCCAGCTTTCCTACTTCCTTCCTTTATATATGCAATGCCTTGTGCTTTCCTGACTCAAGCAACAGAGACGAGTTTTCCCTGTTCCTGTCTCATCTATTAAAATCCTAGTTATTCTTCACAGCCTGGCTCAGGCAGGACTGGGTATAACAAAGGACAGGAGCTTTTGAATTACTGAGGCAGAGTGCTCTCACCTGAATAGAGATCATAATCCTCACATGAAGTCATGGTATAAAGCAAGTAACATTTGTTAATGATCTTGGCACAGTTATCTTTCCCTCCCATCCAATCAGCGTTCACTGAACCAGAGTACCTTCAAACACATTCTGAAGTTCACACAAATTATAGTTTATGTAAAAATTTATTTGACGAAAATGTAGAAAAAGTGATACTCTTACATATGATACAGTTGCAAGAATCTAAATGAAAAGTGTGGGTTTTATTCAATTGCACAGTTCGCTAGTGTACCTTCTGGGTAGTGTGATGCTTAATAAATAGGAGTGAGGGGCAGAGGATTTGGATAAGCTAGAAGCAGGGTGATTTTGTCAGAATTGTAAACTTGAGTTGGCCCCCACACTGCTGGGGAATGTGGAATGTTTAGCTCTGAGATGTTAACCAAGAAAGCAGAAATACAACAAAGCCAAAATGTGCAGCCCTGCCTACAAAATACTCCATATCCAGTTTAATCAGGAGTTTCTTGGTCTTTTATTAACTTGGTCCTAAAAAGGAATTAAAGTCCTACATAAGTAAATCTTCAGTTTGCCATTCCCTGAAGTATAAAGGAGATGAAGCTAGGCTGATTACTTTATCTCTACTTTGCTGGCAGCGAGGCCCCTTCTGCCCAATATTTCTTAGCAACTGCTCAGTTCTTCCTGATAGGACTTCTCTGGATAAGACTGAATTCTACCACATTCATTCCTGCTGAGGAGATGGTCTCAGATCAGAGTAGACAAGCATGGGTCATTATTGGAATAAGCTATCTGCTCCTCAGAGAACAATTTTAGAATGAAAGGAACATGTAGAAAAGCCTAACATCAAGGATCTATCCAGAAAATATCGGGGTGATTATTATGATTATTTCCCAAGCATTCTCAAGCTGACTGCTCAGAGGTTGTTCTGCATGGTGGAGTGTGGGAAAGAGCCGAGATGATTAGGTTAATCTGTCTATGGTTTACGACTTCCCACAAAGCCAGCCCCCTCCCCCTGGCTTTTTTTTTTTAAATTTTTGCTCTGGATGGAAAATCCCTGCCCATATTTTAATGTGATGGTCCCTGGCTACCTGTCGTGTGACCAACAGTGGCCCAGAAGGTTATATATTCTTTGGCCTTTTAAGTTGACCCATGACTAGATACTGGAGTTGTTTTTGAAAAGTGTAGGGTTGTCTATTCTCCCAGAAACCAAATGCCCTCAGTTTTAAGAGAGTATGCTCAATATGAAATACCCTGCCTACCTTATGAATAAATGCAACTTAAGGATAAAAATAGAGCTGAAAAAGCGGGTGCCATTTGAAAAAAGGAAGGAATTAGATTTAACTGGTGCTCAAAGCTTCTCTGATACAAAATATTTGGTCATATATTCATAATTTGCTTGACATTTCCAGCAAAGCGAAGATTCAATAGCAAAAGAAACTTCTTACAAGAGAAGAGAAAGACACGGAGCTCTGGAGTTTCTGTTGGAACAAGACTCTTCTGTTTTGATTATATACAGTTAAGTTCGTTTAGTGTCTGATCCAGTGTCTGATGTAAGCCCACATTCTCTTCTTTGGCCTGGGCAAGTTTTTCTGGTGAGGATTAAGAGTGGGGGAAAAATAAATTAATAAGCATCTTTGTTAAGGAGAAAAAAGTTTCTAAACTCCACAAACTGTCAGAGTGAAAGTCATAGCAGAGAAGGTACTTTACATTTTAATTATAGCAGAATACCATGGAATAATTAGAGATCAAGTACCGAATATGGGAGTCAGGGTTGCAAGATAAAATACAGTCTTCAATTAAATTTGAATTTCAAGTAAACAACAAATACTTTTTTAGGACAGGTATATCCCAAATGTTGCATGAGATATACTAACGCCAAAAAATTACTCATTGCCTATCTGAAATTCAAATTTAAATGGGTGTCCTGTTTTCATTTGTTAAATCTGGCAATCTAGAGTTAGAACACCTGGACTTAAACCCCAGTTGTGCCACTGAAATACGCCATTTAACCTTGTTAAATCTGTTTCCCCATCTGTCAAGGATAACAACAGCAATATGGGGCATGGGGATTACCATAAGAAACAAACAAGAGGCACTTCAGAACTTAGGAAGTGCCACACAAACGTAAGACTTTAGTCCTAGATATCGGAAACAGTACATTTCCCCCCTAGTGCTAGTTAGTCAGTCTTTGTTAGGAAATTATAATCCTGAAACCCGTTTTTCCTTTGGGGGTTTTGGGAACAGCCATTGAAGTTCCAGGCATAATTGTGTTCTTGTGTCTGTGTGTCCGTAGCCATGTAGTCAAACCCTAGATAAATGCAGCATGACTGAAAATCTAAGTCAGACTGCAGGTGAGTTATTAAGTGATAAAATTTTCAAAAACTGAAAAAGTAAGATGCCATTTAGAGCGAGGCACAACAGCGACCAAGACAGGACTGGTTTGCAATGAGTGATGGCCGATAAGAGACTAGGCCAAGAATCATTAAAATACTGGAGGAAAGCAAATGCCTCATAAACTGTGATAGGATCAGCTTGGAAATTTTCAGAAAGAAAAAAAAAATGACTGCAAAGACGGCAGTCTTTCAACTAGAACTGCTGACCCTTTCATCTGACAAGGCACTTAAAAACATCAAGTTGCTATGATTGGGGCGGATTCTGTCAGAGAACAGTGAGTGACCTGGGCCTGACTAATGTGGATGGACAGTGCCCACTCCGTGTAAGCCAGTTTCTCCATGGTCTCACCTAATCCTCACTGATGGAGCCACCACTTTTGTTCTGCAGAAAAGCTAAGCAGCTTGTGCAAGGTCCCACAGGGCTGAGATTCAAACCCAGGTCTCCCCCCACTACAAATCCTGACCACACTTCACCTTGCCTCTTGGATTCCCTGGCATCTACTTTGTATTAGAGCTGAGATTAAAAAAAAAAAAAAAAAAATCTTTCCCTTAATGTATCAATTGCTCTCAAGAAGTATGACAGGCCCATAGATCATCAACGGTGGTAGTAGATCCTGATAGCCCAAATCTCTCTGTAAATGAAGTTCCACTTAGGAGCTTAGTTAGGTAGAATGACTGGATAAGCAGGGCTGCAGTTATTTCAAAGGGTGGAGGCCACATACATCTGGAAAAATCCCAGGAACAAATATATAGAGTGAGCAAACAAAAACACCCACCCCTTCCCTTCATAGTCTAACCTTTCCACAGTCGTAAAGTATGGCAGTGTGTGAGGGGAGTGGTTTATGCAAAAGTTCAGAGTGGATGATAGGAAACCAGAGAGAGGCTGAGGATGAATAGTTTAAGGGAGATGGATTTCAGAGGGATGAATATAAAGAACTGGGACAGAGGTTCCCACCTGAATAAAATCATAGGATGAGGAATAATAAGCTATGGTGACAAAAAAAAATAGTTGATCTAATTGCAGATCTTCATGCTGCTCCCAGGTTCAAGAGGCAGTCTAAAAGATATGCGTGGACATCAAAATGGCAGTGTTTCTGGGATGATTTATGGTGGTGGTGGTGGGGGGGGGGTGCAGGCGAAAAGTGGATAAAATACCTAAAATTTGGATTCTTGTGGGAAAATCTATGAGCTTTTGGTCACTATAGGCATGATCTCTTAACACCCACAGGCTAACTTTAAGAGTTCTCACCAAACCAAAGCAAGGTTCCTGATTCGAGCTGAGTATGAGGAGATAGATGTTACCATCTCAGGCAACTTTGGAACTCAGGAATGAACTCTCTCTGTCTGGCTTTCCAGCAGCTTCCACCCCCTTTCCCTGCTAATGGGATGCACTTTCGTCCCTTGTGTAGTTGTTTTCTAAGGGCAGGGGCTAGAGGTGAGGATCACTGGTGAACTTCCTCCCAGAACCAAGGGCTGGGTAGATGTTCCATGAACAGTGAAGACACAGTGAACCCCGGACACCACTCTCAGGGTGTAACACAGAGAAAACAAATGCAAAAAGGAAGAATAAGGAGACCAGAATGCCATTGCCGCTTTGTGAATCCGTAGGTCAAACCCCATTCAAGAGGAGCCTCTTTTTAGACACAACCCTGCCAGTTTTTGCAAGTTCTGCTGACTCTATCAAGCTGCTTAAGAGGCTGGATAAGTCTCCATTCAAAAACAAATTTCTATTTAAGGAAAAACTGCTATTGGCATGCAGATATAGTTAGCTAGCACATATTTGAGAGCTCCTGCCAAACAGCCAATTTGTTTCCATATAGGCAGAAAGAATCACGTGGGCATCATTTTCCTTTTGAAATGAGCTCTTCATTTGAACCACCCACTCTCTGTTGTAGCCATGGTCAAGGGCACCAACAGCTACGGCTCAAAAGCGGCAAGGGAAGAAAATGAAAATGAGGGCCTGGGCACGAGGAGCGCCTGTCTTTATTTCGGTCACACAGTCACAGACACAGCAGAGGAAGGCTTGAAAGACCAAACCAGGAGGCAGGAAACGAGCTTCTAGAAGCCCACGGGAAGTGCAGGCACCACAGTGAGGAGGCCAACTTCGGTATTGCTAGGACAGAGGGCGGCACCCCAGCTCCCTCTCACAGAGAGGTCATGTCGTTGAGAGCATGGTCCAGTTCCTCGCTGATAGCTTTGTACTTGAGCTTCTGAGCGTATAGCTCGTCTAGAGGGCGGAGGTCCCCAGGGAGAGAGTTCGGAAAAAGAGGTACAGGGAACAGAACGTGAGGGTCGGAATGGAGTGCCACAGATGAACAACGAGAGGAAGAAAACAAAAGTGAGAAAACAAAGCATGAACTAGAAGAAAGTTGTGTCCTATGTAAAACAAATGAGGAAGCAAAAGATCAATGGAGTGGTTTCTAAGTGGCTTGAGACTCTGCAGGGGATTAGCCATGATGAATCTCTAAAAGAAAGGGGGACTAGACATGGACACAGCTTCTATCCCCAACCTCCCGCCCCAGGTTATTTCCGACTTGTAGTGATGTCACCCAGTCCAAAGATTATACTTTGGAATGGGATATTTTCCCTTATATGGAAACCTCACCTCCCAAACCAAACACTGGGACACATGGTCTGAGGAACAAGTTTGGCACCCTTTCTGGGTGAGACAGATAATTTTAGGAGATTTTGTTTGAAACCCAAGATGCTAGAATTTCCCAGTTTATTTTATGGAGAACACAGGACGGAATTCTTTTTCTTTCTTTCTTTCTTTTTTTTTTTTAAAGTGGGAACTCTTCAAGAGATTCTGGGATATGTGGGCACCAGACTTTCAGACTGGAGTCTTTATTCAGTTTCTACATTCTCTGTATTTTCATTTTTCTCATACTGTGATAAGCTCTGAGTTCTCTGGGAGAGAGCTTCTGTAAAAATGTAAGGCATTTTAAAAATGCAAGGCATCTCTCAGGAATGAGCAAATTGAAGGACATTCTAAAGACTTTTAAAACAAAATCAGCCATATTTGGGTCTCTGTATTCACACGTGGAGCCAATTAAGCAGAGAGCTTTTACTTCTGGAAAAAATGGTAACCCAGGTCTACATTTGACTTGCACTGTCCTGTTCCAGTGCCCCAGACCTCCAGATGTGCCGTCACTCTGTACTTAACTTTCCTAGGATGAACAAAGCCCAACTCAGCCCCTCCAGAGACTCCTCCCAACTGTCAGCAGATTGTCACGAAGGGGGAGGCAGAGCAAATGTAATTAGATGGTAGTTTCATACCTTCCAGGTCATCAATTGTCTTTTCCAGTTTTGCAACCGTTCTCTCTGCAAATTCCGCACGGGTCTCAGCCTAGAAGAAAAGAAAGGAGTCACTATGATTGCTTCAAGACCCAGCCGAGAGAGAAACCTGAACTAGCTGGGTGTGATCGCGCTCACCTCTTTCAGTTTGTCGGACAAAAGTTTGATTTCTTCTTCATATTTATCCTCCTTTTCAGAATACTGTGGGAGAAACCAAAACAGTACTTTAAAAAAGGTGGGGAAGGGCCAAAAAAAAAAAAGCATAGAAGAATGTAGGTTCTCTGTTCCTTGGAGAAGAGCATGTGCATGAAGCACTATGAACATTTCTAAGAAGCAAAGTGGAGGCAGCACCTTTCCAGATAGAAGCAATGTGCACAAAACTCAAGAGAATCCGCAGAGGAGCCCTCTGGGGTGGGATTGAGCTGAAGGTCTGGGCTGGATTAACTTGAGATGAATCTGTGATCAAGACGGAGCAGATGGTTGAATGGAAATGATGCCACGTGGAGCCCTCCACAGTTGGCCTGACTGATGTTTTCCACCCCGCTTCCCACCACCGTTCTCAAACGCGTTCTGTGCACTCTCCAATCTCCCAGCCTTAGAGCACCCCCCCCCCCGCCCCACCGCCCAGCATGGGATGTTCCTTTCCCCATTGACTACCTGCCAGAAAGGATTTTTGTCTTGCAAGGTTCGACTCAGATTAGTATCAGCTAGCCTTTACAGCTGCTTGCTAGGTTCCAGATAACCTTGATCCCATTTTACAGATGAGTAGAAGCATCACAGAGAGATTAAGTAGTTTGTCTAGGGTCACATGGCTATGAAGTGACCACACCATGACTGACTGGAACCTGACTCTGGAATTTGAGCTCCTGGCCTCCATCGTGCTTTACAGCCCTTTTAAACATCACCTCCTCATGACACATTCCCCAACTTTCCAAGGTCCCTCTGTTGAAGTCTCAAAGCACTCTATTACTGGGTCAGTCTCTTCTACTCAACTACACTCTGAGCCCTTGCAGAGCAGAAGCCATATTCACTGTAACATCTACCCCTTGGCCTAGGACAGCATTTCACATGCCCACAGGAGCTAATTTGGCATGCATAGGTGATAAGCCACGTTCGCTCATCAAATATCCTCGATTCCCTGTTAATACTAATGACATAGCTCTAAACAAAACAGATACAGTCCCTGTCCTTAAGACTTACCATGTAGCAAGGAAGGCATGTAATTAATTATGACAAATGTGATCACGATAGGAAAAGAAGTAGGCGGGGCTATACAGCTGAGAAGCCCCTAACCTAGATGTTCAATGCAACTGGAGGGCAGTAGGAGGTGGCGAGAGTGAGGAAGCGAGGAGGATGGCGAATTCACAGGGCAGGCTCCGGGAGAGTGTGGGCATTGCTCCTAACATGGTTCTCTCTGGTAATGACTGCTGTGGGTACTATTTCAACCTAAAAAGCCCAATTCCGCCTCTTATATCTGCTGCTCGATCTTTTAGAGTGTATTTTATGGAGGATCCAGGGGATTCATCTGAGAGTGAGGCTCTGTATACAGTTAGGCTCAGGTCTCCTTAAGAGGAGCCTGACCAGGTACAAATCTCATTCCCTCTCTGCCCTCCTCGAAGGCGGAGATAAAAGATGGTGCAAAGACCCCACTGAAGAAGGAACTCTAGCCGCTGGACGTCTCTTTTTCGGAGGGGGAAAAAACTTGCTGCTGGGCACCAAAGCCACTGTTAGCAAATACAGGTCAGATTCCCCGATACCCTGGGCATGTACTCCCGTGCACCGTGGGGAAGAAAAGTAAGTCCAGCAAATCACCAGTGCAAGCCAACCACCAACCTTTTCAGATGCAGCCTCGAGTGACTTCAGATTGTTAGTGACATTCTTGAGCTCTTCTTCCAGGTCACCACATTTTCTGTGCAGAGACAAAGGAAATTTATGTCCTGTCCCCCCTTAGAGCAGGCAATTCCCTGAAAGCTTTCAAAAAGAGGAATCCACGCTGCCTAGGGCCCCCGGAAGGAATGCGGGGGAAAAATGTTAACGGCTTCTTTCTGAGCTGTAGAGCCGCACGCTTATCCAAACCCTATCGTGCCTGGCAAAGGCGCAGCAGGCTGAGGAGTATTTGGAAGGTTCGTAAAGTACTCCTGGGCTCTCGCCAAGGGTGAGGCAACAGGACCTTGTGAAATCTATGATTGATGAGGCTGCCTCCAGAAGGTTTAAGAATGAAATGGGGCACAGGAGGTTGGGAGACAATCAGTTTGCACCCGACACTCCAGGAGGCAAACTCTAAACGGATTTGCGAAACTGGATCCTCTCTCTCAGCACCGCGGGATGCTCCTCGAAGCTGGATTCCTCACCCGAGGCCAAGGGGGAGAGGCTTTTTGTGTGTTCGGAGCCTGCGGGACTGTGGTCAAGCTTCTCACCTCCCACCTCCCCCCACACACACCCAGGAATGTGTCACAGGCAAACAATGACATCAAGAACAAGGCAGAAACGCTGATAGGGAAGCCTGCCTTCCGCAGGTAAGCGTTCTCTTAAGAAGGCGCAGCCTCCTGAGATATCCTCTCTGGGAAAACGGGACTTCTGGGCTTCTCTGCTATGGCCCATCTCAAGTCTATTTCCCAATACCTCTGGGGGAAGAGCGAACATGTAGGCAGCGCTTCCCAGGGCAGAAAGAACAAACAGACACTCTCAGCCTTGGAGGCAAGGAGGAAGGGCTGAGCTAGGAGTCCCCAGATGCCCATTCCACTTGAGCAGAGGCCTTAAAGAGTCAGGGTCAATTCCCTACACAACCGACTCCCCCCCGCCTTGGCCCCAGGAGCCGAGCTGGGCCCCCTCGGTCCCGCTCTGCCACTCACAGTTCAGACACCTCGGCACGCTCCTCCGCCCTCTCCAGCTCGCCCTCCAGGATGACCAATTTACGAGCCACCTGCAGACAGAAAGGATCTACTGAGACCCCAACAACCATGTCTAGTAGGATGCCTCCCCTGCGACCCTTGTAGATGGCAAGGCCTCGCCCAGACCATCTGTGAGGACATGGGCCCCAGGAACGAGGCAGACAACTGCAGAGGCAAGAAGAGCGACTGACCTTTCATGGTCTGAAGACCCATGATTCCCAATTTTAGCCAAAACACCCAGCTATGGGACATAAAGTGATCTGATCATTTGGTCTCCTAAGTTAGACAAGTGTCACAGAATTCCCCAGGCCTTCCTGGCATCGTGGAAGATATGGTTTCCTAGCCAAGTGGCCGTCTCTGGAAGAACAGATGGGGACGCAGAAGGACAGCTGAACTAACCAAAAGCTTCCTTTAGGCGGCTCCAGGGCCCTTCCTATCACAGATCTATTTCCTCCCCACTTCCTGCTGCTGCCCTCTGCCAGCCCCACTCACCTCCTCGTATTTGCGGTCAGCCTCCTCGGCGATGTGCTTGGCTTCTTTGAGCTGCATCTCCTGAATCTCCATCTTCTCCTCATCTTTCATGGCCCGGTTTTCTATCACCTTCATTCCTCTGCAAGGAGCAGCCTCGTCATTACCTCCACACACCGATTATGGCTCATCATACACCTCCACACGTCTGCTCATCCAAACTCCTCTCCAAGAACCATGTTCCAAAGAGGAAATTGTAGAGCGGTTCTCATTCACTTCCCCTTTGCCTCAAACTTCACAACTGCCCTATGAGGTACACCATCCCCACTTCACAGACAAAGAAACGGAAGCACAGAGAGGCCAAGTAACTTGCTCAAAGTTGTGTAGCTCTTAAGTGGCAGAGCTGGGATTCAAACCCTGGTGATCTGGCTCCAGGGCCCATGCTCCCATCCTATATGGCCTCTCACTAACCAGTAACAAGTACTTGTACGCCAACAGTTACCACAGTGTGATGGAGGTCAGGGCCAGCTTGGCTGTGGGAATGATGAATTCTACTGCAGTGGGGGAGGAGGTGTGTATGTGTCATGGGAGGCTTTCCAGAAGAGAACACAGGGAACCACAGGAGGGTTTCAGAAACAGGAGGGAACGGAAACCAGAAAGATGAAGGGACTGCCGTGGGAAGACCAGGTAAGAGGCAGGTATCCACAAGGTGAGGGGTGAGGGGTGAGGGAGAGCTACACTGAAGTGGATATGTCCAGTTTGGAAAGGACAAGTGTCCGGGGGGGATGACTGGATGTCTACAGCAGAGCTGGCTCACCCTGGCCTGCACTGCTTGGAATGCCCTAGGTAAGACCAGATACCTCCCAAGAGGCCAACCCAGGATAATGTATTGATGTGTGTCATGTCTGCCCAGAGTGGAGGACCATGCATGTCTTGTTGCTTAATAAATGTGTCACTAGTGTTCCTAGCTCACTGTCAAGACACCTTCACATCTGTACAAAGCCTTAACCTCAGCACCCGAGCAAGCTTGGGAAACCTTCGCAGCACTGGAGAGATCCAAGTGACTTGCCCAGCGTGAAGTAAGCGGCTGTGGAAGGCCTTGAATCTAGATTCTCCAGTTCCCAAGCAGAGAATTCTTTCTACCAAAACTAGCAGTCTCCCAACAAGGGCATCGCCAAAGGCCTCCGGTGATACGACACAAAGAAGTGAGGGGCCTTCCCAGGCTCTCTGGGTTTGGTGAGGTCCTGGAGGTGAGACGTCTGGCCAGCCAGGCTGCCCGTGAACATGGGCAGCAGCTAATCCAGGCACAGCCATGAGCAACTTGTGACTGGGTCCCTCACATTTCCTGGTGGCTGAAGCAGAGCCTCTGCTGGGCTGTGTGCCCTCCCATGGCACAGGCTGTTCTACACTGCACCGGAAGAAATTTCCCACAGGGGCAACCGGCGAAGTCCATCTCCAAGGTTGGTTTTTAATCTCACAACAGCACAACCAGAAATTAATCCTTTGGAGGACTTTATACCAGGAAACCATGGCGGACGGGTGAAACGCGTGCCCTGGTGTGATCATGGGGTAGATACACAATGACCACTGGCCTGGCCCACACCATCACCGCACAAGGAGCCCATTTACCACCACACAGAGACGGCTGCTTCTTTGAATGACACAATCTGCCCTCAGTCCTCCAGAGCCTGCGCCAAGGCATGAATTATCCTGCGCCAGAGGACAGAGCATCCTGCTGGAGGCCCAAATGCAGAGTGCATGCCACCGAGGTGAGGAGCGCGGTCAGTTTCAAGTCTGTTAATGGTGCTGGTTTGCGCGTGTCCCTGACATACAGTTGTCTCTGACCAGCAGGCTGAATGATCATCTGTGCAAACGGCCCATTCCAAGTTTTCATCTCCCATCCCCCTCTCCCATCCCCCAGGAACTTGGTATCGTGAGAACACCAGCGAGACACACAGTGGCTCTCAGAGAACCCGCAAAGCAGCCTTCTGCAAACTGGTGGCCAGTGACAGTCATACTCGCAGGCTTACATCTACCCATTTTTACATTCTTCTCTGCCAGTTGGGAGTTCTCCTTCAGTCGCCCCCAGGCTCCGGGAGGTCAGCCGCACAGCACCACCCCCACTTCCGAGAAGCACACGCTGATGCCGCCCGGTCATCCTTACCTCTCGCTCTCATCGGCAGCCTTTTCTGCCTCCTCCAGCTTCTGCAGGGCTGTGGCCAGTCGCTCCTGAGCCCTGTCCAGCTCCTCCTCAACAAGCTGGATGCGTCGATTGAGAGCTGCCACATCCCCTTCGGCCTGGGGAGGTCAGAGGTGCAGCCGGCTTAAAAAGTGAAAGGCCAGCCCAGCATCCCCAACTCACATGGCATTCTTCCCTCCATTAAACACTTCCCCCTCTCCCCCTGCCCGACAGAGCCCACCCAGGAATGCAGGCAGTAAAGAATTCACACTCTCATCTGGAGAATGTGAATTTTCCACATGTTCTTCCCCCGAAAACATCCGGGAACATCCACCACTCAATGACAAAGGTGTGTATCCCAGTACAGGACAGGCAGTCAAGTCAACATGGACGAGTGCCAAGCACACCGCATGCTGGGAGAAGACAGTGCTGGCCTCTCTGGGATTCCTAGAGACTAAGGCCACCAGTGCCCTGGCTCACCCTGGCATATAAAAAGCTCTGCTCCCAGTCACCTCAATGATAAGATAAATGTAAGAGTATGGAAGCCTCAGTTAAATGTTGGCCACACAACGTGGGGAAGGGGGTGCGGCACTGTCAGAACACCGCCCTGAACTAAGTCTGGCCCAGAGAGGATGGGACAAAAAGATCTAAGTGAGGAAAGAAAAGAAAACGGAAGGGATGTCTCAATGGTGATACTGGCTTTTCAAGGTATTTGCACCTACAAGGAAGACAATATGGCGGTGCACATGAAAGCAGGAACTTTGGGCTCAAAAAGCGCTTGGTCAGAATCCCTGTTTTGCCAATTTGTAGCCATGTGGCACCGGGCAGGCTGCTTCACTGCTCTGGGCCTCCCCATCCCAGCACCGTGAAGACTGTTAACTGAGGGTGTGGCATTGCACCTGGCATGTGGGAAGTCCCATGACTTCACCTCATTTAATCCTCTGGTATTTTATGATGGGGAAATGGAGAGGTCCAGCTAGGGGCAGTCGTTATGTTCAGGGTCAACAGAACTGGCCTCAGGAAACCCAGCCCATGGCTCTTCCCTGGCTGAGTCTGTACCCTACAGAGTCTTGTGGAGGCTTTGAGAAATACTGAAGAGTTGGTGAAATTTGACTCAACCGAGGGAAGACGTGTAAAGCTACACTGGCTTCTTCCTATCAAGTCAATCTCTGAATTGGGGAAGGCCATAAAAATTAGTAGGAGACGCTTCCTCCCCTACCCCCAATCCCCTGAATTTATACAGCAAAAAAATGGAGTAAAAGAATGAGGCCAGAGATGCTGAAAAAGAGAGACTCAGGAAACTGTGCTCAGCTCCAGAGTCTTAGCAGCAGATGGAGGGAAAACTCCCACAGGTGTTTCTGATCGCAACTTCCTCTGAAACACCAATTTGGAGACTACATTAAAACCACCGATGAACTATTTTAAGAAACTCACCCACTCCTTCTAACAAGTGGGTGCCTTTTATTCTTTTTAATAACGTGAATTTTAACTCCTTCAGCAACAGGGGCAGGAATTGATTCCTCCCCGCCCCCATAGTTGTTAGTACATTAGCAAAACTGCATAACCAACACCATGACCTAATTCTGGAACATTTTCATCACCCCCCCCAAAGTAACCCCATCCCCATTAGCAGTCAAGGTATTGATTTTTAAGATCATACAAAGGTGCTTTATTCATGAGTTGTCTTTAAAAAACGAAAGTGGACTTTCCTTCTGTGGGGAATTCTGAATCCCGATAACCATGCTTTTGGCACATTTTCAACTGTCTGGAATTGAAAGAACGCTGATATACACGACTACAGACGTGCATACATATATATGTATTTTTGAAAAACTGCTAGTCACTGCTAGTCATTTTGGGCTCCACCCCTTCCTGCAATCAAAGCTTCTACACTCTACAAAGGATTTCCCTTATAAGGTAAAAGAGGCTTGCTAGATACATGTGGCAAAGGAACAGGAAGATGTCGGTTAATCACACAAAAATCTAAACGAAACCAGCTGTCGGGAGGCAGACCCAGAAGTCTGCCACACGCCGGCTCTTGGCTTTCTCCACAAGAGACTTGAGAAAGGGTCCCCCCCCGCCCCCGCCCCGGGCTCAGTTCCTTTGCCCGAGTACTTTCTTCAGACTTCCCCATCCTGACCAAGAGGAGAACGCTTTGAAAAGCAAACTTTTTAAGAAGTCCACAACTTTCCAAAAACATCTTTCCTCCCAACTGGCCGGTCCTACTCCTAAGTCTTGGCTCGAGGCTGAGGGCCATTTTTAAGCAGAAGTAATTGTCCTCCAGCGAGATGACTTGGGATGAGATCAGAGGGAGGGTTCTGCCGGTTCCTTGTGTGAAAGAGGCCAAACCAGCTACTGTTTGAGGCTTGCACCAGGTTTCTGAGGCCTCTTCGCGCCAGAGCAACCCTAGTGGAAGACTAAATGCTTCCACTCAGGCCAACACTGGGGCGGTGCGGGGCTCTTCTCCAGACTTGTCAACACCCCGGGCATCTTTTCCATTTCTGGGGTCCCCACCCTCAGCCTTCAACACTCCAGCTTTCCCAGGCCCTGGGCTTCCACCCTCTCGCCCAACTTTCTTGCACACCTAGGGCTCTTCTCCCAGCAAACTCTTATTCTATACTAATGAATGCTCGACTTCCATTTTGAAGCTTACCCCACGGGGGTGGGGGGGCTGCTCCCCTGTCCTGCTCCCACAATAGAACACTGAACCCCTCTGCAATGCTATCCAGCCTTATTTGTACCCCTCACACCCATCAGACTGTGAGCTCTTCTGAGGTGACTGGGAGGGGAGGAAAAACAGGCCAGGAATTGAGCACCTACTATGCGCCCTTACTCCCCGGACCCTCCCAGCTTTCCTAGGGCATTATTGTCACGGCTGCTTTACAGATGGGGAGACACGCAGCTAGGGGTTAAGTACCAAGTGGTGGGAGATGGCGTTAGATTCCGGATCTCTCCCCAGCCCCAGGGGTTGCCACCGTCTGTCCTGCCTCGAGGGGCAGTCCGAGGACGGAGGGAGGGCGAAGAGGGCCCTCCTCCGTCGGCCCCATTATCTGTCTCAGGCCCTGCAGCATGGAGCGGAGGCACACCGAACCATCTTGGGTCGAGGGCCCTGAGCTAACATTCCTAAGTTCTTTTGGAGAAAGGCGGGGTCCCGCGGCCGTCGCTTGCCGGTCGCTCCCGAAGGGACCAGCTGGGGAGGGAAAGGCCGGCGGCTCCGGGCTGAACTTCCGCCCCCCGCCAGGGGCAGACACGTCGCCGCCGCGCCCCTGGGAACAGCTGGGAAAGTTCAGCTGGAGCCGGGAAGCCGCGTAAGAGGGGAGAAAGTCCGACGCCCCCCCCCCC